TTATGTGTTTGGATATTCAAAGAAAATAAAATCAAATGAAAAAAAATATTCATTCTGATTAATAAAAAAAAAATGCCCAATTAGACAGAAAATGTTTTCATAAAATTTTAGTCGGAAGACATTTTTCGAATTCTTTAATTTTATGTCCCTCTCTCTTTCTCACCATCACTACCGCACCACCATACCACCACAATCACCACCACCACACTACCAACACCACCGTACCACTACCACACTACCAGCCACTACCACCACCACCACACCACTACCATACCATCACCATCATCACCTCACCACACCACCACCAACACCACTACCACCACACCACTTATTATTATTATTATTATTATTATTATTATTATTATTATTATTATTATTATTATTATTATTATTATTATTAGGGAAAATTGTAATTTATGTCCCTCCATAATATGCCAATTATCAATGTCACTCTTGAATTATTACTTATTAGTGGTGTAAATGTTGCCCCCAATTTTTAAAATGGTACATATATTGCCCTCCCCGTAGTGTAAATGTTGCCCCTCAATTTTCCTCATGTACGGTACGAGATGGGCAATATATGTACCGTTTTAAAAATTGAGGGAAAACATTTAATAAGTGCAATGTGGTGGTGGTGGTGTGGTGGCGACATCGGCGGTGGTGGTGGTTGTGGTGGCGTTGGAGGTTGTAGTGGTACTGGTGGTGGTGGTGATAGTGGTGATGTTAGTAGTGGTATGGTGGTGGTGGTTGTGGTGTTAGCAATGGTAGTGGTAATAACAATTCAAGAACTAGCATGAAAATATGAGAGAGGAGATAAATATTGAAAAATAAAAAATTTGAAAAATTTCGTCCAGCTAAAAATCTTTGAAGACATTTCCCACCGAATTAAACTTTTTCCGTTGACTAGAATGAATATATTTTTCATTGACTTTATTTTTCTTTGAATACCCAAACATAAAAAAAATCCTAAAAATAACCTCTAGAAGTCATTTTCCGGATTTCGAAACCGACAGTTAATGAACAGCTCATGCCTTATATACATATACTCTTATATATATATATATATATATATATATATATATATATATTTATTTATTTATTTATTTATTTATTTATTTATTATGTTGCATATGAGAACCACTCCTTAAGTGAGAATATGAAGACTTATCTTGAGCGTTATTATTATTATTATTTTTTTGGATGAACTAGACTTGGCTTTTTAAGATTATACATATTGAATTTTTTAAAGTAGGGGTAGCAATGTCTTTTTTGTGTGTAACTGCTATAGATGTAGCCAGATTTGTCGAATCGGGGTTTGGAGGGCTCTTAGGGTTAGGGTTCAATCTTTTGAAAGAAAATTTTCTTGGATCACCAGTATTACGAATTGGAGGCGCTTTTTTTTTTTTTTTTTTTTAATCATCGATTGAGTGTTCTTCTATAGAAAGTGATCAATATTTTTAATTTGTTTCTTAATATTTTTTAATATAATATTGTTTATATTTGAATGTTGTTATATATGTACAGATTTGGGATGCAAGCATCGCTGGACGCTGGTATCTAGAAATCTAGAATGGATAGGCACAATTGAAATGGAGAATGGCGCTGCAAAACGTCGACGGAACGACGACTAATTAATAAAATAATTTTCATATTGGGAAGAGAGAAAACACAATGCCCATAAATTTGAAATAAAAGAAAATTTACAACTTGCATTTTAGTGAAAGTAAGTTTTATTTCTTCTTTCCTGCACGTCGTAAAATTTCAATTGGAATGTAACTTAAAAATTGTTTGTTGGTCATATATCGGTGGTCATACGCCACCTCCTACGGTCGATCCAATCATAGCGTGATTAATTATCAATTTAACATCAAATTTCCCTTATTGATTAATTGAAAAATGTTTTTATTTAACCAAATATTTGTTTTTCAACGTATTATTAATATGGAGTTTTTCCAACTAATTGTGCATATATTGAGTGCACTATTATAGATCTTGAGTGCACCATTGTTATCCGTGAATACATTATCATATATTTTTAAATATATTGTAGTAATGACATAAATGACACCATTTTTTTTAAATTTAATTTTCACCCCTTAATCATCTTAGATTGAAAGATGGGATTAGTCTACTCGTTTTCACGAGACGATTAATTCTCATATGATCCTGTTATATGTAGGGCCAAGTTCAGATGCGGACGTGCTAACAAATCTAGTTCGTTCATCTAAACATGATAAAGGTTGAAAATCAACAAAAGGGGGAAAACACGATAACATTTTTGTAATTTTCTGTATTGCTTGTGCATTTAGAAATACTTGACTGTGCATTTGGAAATGCTTTGAGTGCACAGAAGAAACTTCTTGATTCCCATCACCGTCCTCCCATATGTCATTACGATTGTGCATCTAGAAATGCTTGACAGTGCATTTGAAAATGCTTTGAATGCACGGAAGTCACTACTTGATTTTCATCACCTTCCTCGCTTGTGTCATCACATGAGTTTCTAAATGCACTGTCAAGTGTTTACAAATGCACAATTGTAATTACAAAAAATTATAAAAATGCCACAGGGTTCCACCATCCCTAGCCATAAATGTGTCCTACCCGGTGCTAAGTTTTTCAAGCCAAACTTTTCTCTACGTGCCACTTCGAAAACAATTTCGAGGTCCCCTCAATTGCCCCTTGTGACTCTGCTAACCCTACACGCAACAGTCTTATTGTCCACCCCTGCTATACGCCCAACCCCCTTTTCACCGTCAATTGCCCCTCAGGGGGTCTGCCACAGTAGGCCGGACCGAGCCAAAGTCATCTAGCCACCGGTGGATGGCATAGGAAATTGGGCAGGGGTAAAAAGCCCTCGCGGCCATCGACCGAGAGCGGCTCGCCACTCCCAGCGAAATAAGAACGAGGCGGGCCCAGGCACAACGCTTCATCCTCTACATATTTTTCCCGGATCTTGTTCTATTCCACGCTGTCAAACACACCCTTAGCCCCTTTTCCAAAAAATAAAAAATAAATAATCCACCACCTTCCTAAATGGACTCACATCCAGCCAAGCCCACCCCTAATCAATTGTATTAGCATGGTTCAATTATTATGTACATGCGGTTAACATATTATGTATCTATAGTTAATAAATTATGTATATATTTCAATAATTACAACAATTAAAAATTATGTATTTGCAGTTAACATATTATGTACCTTCAATTTATTTATAGATACTTAATCTGTTAACTAAATATACATAATATGTTAACTATATATATATATATATATATATATATATATATATATATATATATATATATATATATATAATTTGAATGTTGTTTTGGACTAAGATCCACAGTGCGAGGGGCGCCTTGGTCCATGGTATAATTTGCCACCTCACTTGCTTAAATGGACTCTCTCCTCTGGCCAATCTCATTCATAATTTGCCTAAATAAATTCCCTTTTCCTAAGCTTTGCACAATGCCAACTTGTACTTTACATTTTACTACACTTTGGCTCCCAACTTTTCCACACTTTTCACCCCATTCCTCCAGGTTATGGCCCCTCAACTTTATTTCTCATCCCAATTTAGGTCCCAAAACCAATGCTCTTGGGCTCCATTTTTTTTTTTTTTCAGACTTAATTAACCATTGAGTATTCCCTTTCTAGCCCTATTGAAATTGGGCTTACGCCCATGGCTCCATCATATTTAGTGAAATTTGTTTAATCCATATAAGTTAATGACTTTATAGAAACGTTACAAAACCGTTACTATACCATTTTAATGCTAAAGATATTATAATTTAGAGTGTGATCAAGGACCTTGTGGTCTAATGGTATCAAGTTGAATTTTCATAAGAGAGATTGTGGGTTTGAGCCTTAGTAGAGGTGTTATTGACTCTTTGTGGTCCAATAGGTTGAGAAAGTAGTTATGAACAAATATTGCATTGTAATAGAGTTAATTCAAAAAATAATTTAGGATGTGTTTTTATGAATGAGAATCAAAATTATAATTAGTGTTTGGTTGACAATTTTTTAAAACATAACTTTGCATTTGATAATCAACCAAACAAATTTTGATTACCCATTCAATTAAAAATCTCATTCCCTAACTAAAAATGAGTATCATCCATCTTATTGGTAATCTAAGTGTGTGTTTGGCTCGCACATGGAAATAATTGAATAATTTTAAAGCTCATGACTAATTTAAAAAATAAACATATTAAAATTCATCTACGTATATAAACATTCAACAAGAAGTACGTTTCTTTTAAGGACAATTGTACATATACAAAAAATTTACACGGCTTAATATATGATTAAATTGTACGGAACATTTAAATTAAGAGAAAATCATTGTTTTGATCATTCAATTGTTTTGCAACTGTTAATTTAATCTCTAATTTTAATTTGAACGAATTTGATTCTCGAATTGTTTTTAACTTCCTTAATTAAATAACTTTGGCACTATGCCGTCACTCAGCAATTAGTTGCCCATATTTGAGTCCCCGAGAAGTAAACTTACTTCTCGGCTATGTTGAAAAGTAGACTCTCACTTGTGACCGGAAGGTATGTTTACTTCTCGGTCACATGGTGAGGGGTGCTTCTGGCACTTCTTGGTTACGTCCGATCCGAGAATTATGCAATCAAATAAGGGCAACTGAGAAGTAAACTTACTTCTCGACTAGGTCGAAAAGTAGACTCTCGCCTGTGACCGGAAGATATGTTTACTTCTCGGTCACACGGCCAAGAGGTGTTTCTGGAACTTCTCAGTTACGTCCTAACGGCTGAGTGACAAAATAATGACAAAGAGATATAATTGACGAAACTTATAACAATTTGAGTATTAGGACTCTATGTATTTGAGTCAGTTTATGATTCACAATCCTAGTCTCCATCTGCCTCCTCTTGTATATATGCCTAGAATCTGTACTCTTGTAATTATCACTGTTAATACAATCAATAACAATTCTCATATGGTATCAGATATCTAGGGTTTCTTCCCAATGACCGACAGATCTGTCAATTCCTATAAACGGATCGTTTCTGATGTTAGTCTCTCATCGGTTACTTCAACTGTGACCACCCTCTCCAACGCTAATCACTTTATCAGTGTCAAACTGACTTATCGGAACTTCGTATTTTGGAGGCCTCAAGTTGTTCATTTTCTCAACGGGAATGACCTAATGGGTTTCATCGACGGATCAAATCCTTGCCCGCCGACCATGATCTCGTCCGGCGAGGAGGGGGCGTTAGCACTGCCGAATCCCTCTTGTCCACCGTGGGTTCGTCAGTATCAGGCGCTCCTTTCTATGCTCATGTCGTCGTTGTCTGTTGAAGTTATGCTCTTGGCAATCGAGCATCACCCATCCGTGCAGTGTGGACTGCCGTCACCTCTGCCCTCGACTCCTCATCTCAATCTCGCTCGTTGAACCTCATCGGGCAGCTCCAGACGCTTCAACAGGGTGACGTCTCCATCGCCGATTACATCGGCCGAGCCCAGGTTCTGATAGAAGACCTTACCCTCGTTGGCCGACATGTTCCTCTCGTTGAGCAAAATCTATATATCTTCCGGGGGTTGAGGCCCGAGTTCCGGAGTCTTGTCTCTTCTCTCAACGTCCGGGGAACGCCGGTCACGCTTCATGAGCTCTCGGATATCCTCGGTGCCGAAGAGTTCGTTACCGGCAGTAGTGGCTCCGGGCAGAACGGCGGGCAGTCCCGTGGCATTGGAGGAGGCCATCGCGGCAATGGTGGCCTGGTTGCAGCGGTTGGAACGACAAACACCAACCTAAATGTCAACTTTGTGGGATACTAGGGCACACTGCGGTCACTTGTTACAAGTGTATGAAAAGGATCCTCATGCTAATATGGTTTATTAGGGAGTTCCTTCAGATTCCTCACAGGACTCTCATACTTGGTACCCAGACACGGGTGCAAAAATCATGTTACTCTAGATATAGCGGCACTCTCTATCTCGGATGAGTATAATGGTAATGACACACTCCGTGTCGGTGATGGTACATGTTTGCCTATTAGTCATATTGGTCATGCTTCTTTTCATACCTCACTTGGTCTTTTCATTTGTCTAATATACTCCATGTCCCACATTATCTACCTCTTCATTATCTGTTCAAAAATCAACATATGATAATGAAGTATTCTTTGAGTTTCACCCATCCTTTTTTGTTGTGAAGGATACCAAGTTACCAACACCAAGGAGATTCTTGTTCGGTGCAATAGTTCTGGTGGGTTATATTCATTTAACCAGTATATTGGAACATGTTAAATGAATATTATTATATTTCATTATTCTCTCTTAAATCGTGATTGGCCCCCCGCATTGGTTAATCCTGGCTCCGTCCCTGAAAACAACATATTGTTGAAACCGGTCTTACTCTCATGGCTCGTGCCTCTGTTCCATCTAGGTTTTGGAATTTTGCATTTGAAACTACGATTTATTTAATTAACAGAATGTCATATGCTGTATTAAATAATTCCAGTCCTCATTCATTATTGCATAAATCTCCTACATCCTACTCTTTTTTTCGTGTCTTTGGTTGCCTGTGTTATCCTCACCTACGACCCTATAATCGGACCAAATTCATTTAAATTGAAAAGTATAGACTAAATCAACAATTGCAAAATAATTGAGGGACCAAAACAATGATTTTCCCTTAAATCAATATTCACTAATAGTAAATAAATATGAGAATTATAATATGTATTACAAGTCGCATTAGATGATAAAATTAGACACCAAACGTTTGGTACAAATACAAATTTATTTAGCAAAAAGGGGAGAGAGAGAGAGTGAAACAAAAGGGTAGACATTACTGCATTAGATGCAGTGTAGCGTATACCAATTTCAGAAAAGGATATGCGTGTCTTGAGTAGTTTTTAGAGTGAGAGAATGCATGTTTTTGTCAACAAATGGAGTTTTATTTCCAACTTTGCAGTTGGGAATTCCTTTTCTTTGGAAGACAAAGAGAGAGCGAAGACTTTAAGACGGCCGTTTGTTTCGAAAAGTATGTATATATACTATACTGATATACTCATCCAAATTCCTATTTGGATTCAAGCCAATACCGCATCTTTGAATGTTTGTCACGCTTAGCATTGAATTGGATAGCAATTTCGTGTTCAAAATACGTGTTGTTAATTTTGGTAATGAATTTTCTTTCAACTAACGCAATTATTAGTGGGTAACCCCACCTTATAATTGTGATTATATATATTAGGAATGCTTTAAGTGAGAAATAAATTTTTAGGTGAAAATTGAAGATCGATCTGATTTATTTATTTGGTCGAGGGTAACTCGACCTTATAATTGTGATTGTATATATAGATTTATGTTCAGGTGAAAATCTATCTTATTGTTTGAAGCTGTGAATTTGTGCACACCCTGATGTTACATCATCAAACGGTCCAGAACATGGTGCACGGAATAGTCAACTCAGGACACAATATTGTGCATTGTGTTTGCAGTGCACTACTTGTGTGCATTGTATTATAGATGACATGCACTGTTCATTAATCTAAATAAATGATCCATATTGGTTCTCAAGGTCAGATGTTAATATAGGTTCTGATATAAACCTAAATCAATATTGTGACCCCACACACATTCACAGAGTATAATGGAATGTTGTAGACAAATATTGAAATGTTGGGACAAGTAGAGGTGAACTTATTATATGTTATTAACCTTGATAGATAGATTGGCTTGCATATTAACCTTGATAGATAGATTGGCTTGCATAAAACATTTTATCATTTGATTGATCTTTCATTCACAATTCTATGTGATCAATTTTTACAATGATATCCACTACATTCAATAAGGTAAATGCAATTTAAAAAAAAAAAAATTATCCAATTTTGTGTCAATGTTGGGTGGGGTAGATATATAAGGACAAGTAAATTGATTAGGATAATAACTTTTAATCCACTTTTACTAAGAGCGTTGATCGAAATGCAGAAATTTGTGTAATTAAGCATTTGACACACACGCACACACAGAACAAAACAAAACCAAAAATAAAAAAAAATACAAAAAAAAAAACAAAAAAAACAAAAAAAAACAAAGCAAAACAAAACAAAATTAAAAAAAAAAAAAACAAAACAAAACAAAACAAGCACTATGACGAAATAATACCAGAGGTGACTAAGTTAAACTATTATTATCTTTTAAAAAAATAGACCATGAAGTTTGACACCAATATATACCATCCGATGTCATCCCATTTGATTAAGGTAGGATAAACCATCACAAATCAACACTAACCGTATATATGGATCTATATAGAAATTATTAATTATTTAACTTTTTTTTTTAAGTTATTGACTCTATTACATTGTAGTATCTGTTCATATACTTTCTCAACCTACTGAAACACAAAGAATCAATAACGCCTCCACTGAGGCTTGAACTCATAATCTTCCAAATGGAAGTCCAACCCGGGTACCATTAGACCACATAGTCCTGGTATTAATTATTTAACTTAGTTTTCTTTTTTTGGGCAAATGCTTAGTAGGATAATAATAAAAAAAAATAAAAAATACACATGGCATCTTAATCATCACAAACTTGTTGGTAACTTGCTAAAAATGCTAATTGAACTTTTTTTTGCAGGTTCATGGATCAATTTGGAGCTTATTCGAGTTCAGTGGCTTAATTGCTATCCCCAAATAATCCAATGACCTATTTGTACTTTTTTTTTTTAATTTAATTTTTGAAAAAAAAATCAAATTACCATTTATCACCTTGAATTTTACCTTTCAATTGGCCTAATTGCATTAATTTAACAAGCTATTAATTCAATTAAAAATTGAAAAGTTTATATATGTTCAATAACAACTTTTTAAAGTTCATGAGTCTAATTAATTTTTCATATAAAATTCAAGAAGCTATTTGACCATTTTCCCATAAAATTATAACAAATGGCGAGAACTAGGGCGGTTAACGAACCGAACATAAACGAACGGAGGTTGTTCGTGTTCGTGTTCGTGTTCGTTTGTTAAGGTTTTTGAAAATCATGTTCGTGTTCGTTTGTTAAGCGTTCATTAGTGTTCATTAACATTCGCGAACGTGTTTTTAAATGTTCGCGAACACGTTCACGAACGTGTTCACAAACATGTTCCTTAACAAGTACGTTCAGAACATGTTGGTTTACATTCATGAACACGTTCGTGAACCTTTAATAAGCAAACACCTGCACATGTTCATGATCACAATTCGTTCGTGAACAACAAATAATTTACGTTCAAGAAATAATCAATGTTCATGATCACAATATAATATATGTATATGTATGTTTGTAAACATGTTCGTGAACATTATTAAACGAACACTAAACGAGCTTGTTCACGAATATTATTAAACATACACAAACGAGCTTGTTCATGAACATTATTAAACGAACACAAACGAGCGTGTTCACGATCTCTTAGCAAACGAGCATACAACTGTTCAAGCTCTGTTCGTTTAATTTATTAACCGAGAGCTCTAAAATTTGTTTGTTAATGGTTCATTTACCTTAACAAATGAACATAAACGAACGCTTACCGAACACGAACACGAGTAGTTTGCCGAAAGCTCTGTTCGCTAACACCCCTAGCGAGAACTTTTACTTACAAGGAGTCTATATATCAATCTTATGATTTTTAATAAATCGAGTTCACCATAAAATCAGATAAATATCAATGACCGGGTACGAAAATAATATTAAATTAATAGGGTCCGAGACCCTTGAAACAAAGTAAAAAAGCTATAAGAACTTTTAAAGTTTTAATAAATAAATGAAATGATGTAAACCCAAGTGACCCAACCAACGAGTCCAACCACATGTTGGTGGACTACTGCTACTGACTAGCTAACACATAGAGACCAATAGTGTAGTGCATAGTTAATCAAGAGAGAAATTAATAGGAGAGGAAGAGACCTAATGATGGTCTAAACTGGACATCACGTCCTCACCCCTCCCTTTTATATTACTCCGGGGGTTGCATGTCATGAATAAGTGTATGAACCACAGTGCTCTGTCATCTCCAATCATACGTGTGTTTTATCAGGTGTCAAGCTTTCTCGCCAAATCATCCTTTGCGCTATATCACAAGACACGATCGTGACCTTGCCAACCATCCTCGCTGCCCCCCATTCCCCCACCCTCACCATTCGCACACACCACTGCCCCCTCCATAGGTCCCCCCTCAAGCCTCTGATGTTCGCCCCTCTCAGGCTCTCAGTCATACGGTCTCGCCCGGTGCCGATCCGCTGGATTCCACTTCAATTGCCCGAGGTATGCCACCCCTAGTGAACCAAGAGCTAGAGCCAGGGTTGGGGGCACCGGTCAACGCCCCACGAGCTTAGTGCATCGTCCCACCCTATTTGCATTTTATCGAATTTTGCTTCATTTAGTGTTGCCAAACGATTCTTTTGTCCCTCTTTCCAAAAAAAGGTCATATCTACTTTTCTAAATGAGCTCACCTTTAGCCAAGCCCACCAACCACAGTTTAAATTGGGTCCTGCCTTTGAGACCCATCAATATCATTTTCTGTAAAAAAGAAATTAAAGACATATACGGAGCGTTTAGTTGGAAGGAAGGAATTAGAGGAGAAATGAATTATAATTCGGTGGGAAAAGAATAAGGTGTGAATAAAGTAGGAATTCGAATTACGTTATTTGGTAGGGAGAAATAGAATTATTGGAGTTGAGAAGGAAAGAAGTGGTATAAAGACTAAAACACACTTGTGTAATAATAATAATAGTAATAACATCCAAGAGTAGTAGTGTCATTTCATCTATTTTTCTTTTCT